GAGTTGTGATTGAGGGAAATCTAGATTGTGGGCAGCACCCCACGGGGTTGCTAGCGTCGGGTAATTCTCCTTGCCGTAATGGCTCCGCTGTTTGTGAAATTCTTTCATTTGTGCTAACTGATTGACCTGTCATTGGCCATGCACTCAGCCCTGACTTGGCAGCTAAAAGCCCCCGACCTCCCGCCGCTCACTATGGCAACCGCGTGGCCAAGGTGCGTCGCCATGGGTGACGGTCACTTAATGAGTGAGAAATGCATAGGTCTGTGCAATCTTTCTTTATGTTTTAAATAACAGCGCAACTTACAATGGCATTTAAAAGGGTGTGAAAGACTCAGTGCCACTGATAACCACTAACAAGAACATGAAAGTAATAGTGTCTTCATAAAATTGTTACAAACATATTCCAACATATGTAGTTTTTTTCTTATTTATAAATACATTAATATTGCACAATTAAAGTTAGCTGATGCATGTCATGTGTAAATGTGTTTTGTGCAGTAACAGCAGTCTTACATTGCACAGCACGAGATCTTGAACTGAACAGCTGGACAAATTCTGTGGCAAACTGAAGCATTAGCTATGTTGTGTGCTAAAAGTAAGATTATATGTTTAGCTTTAGCATATTTTCTGGGCATAGTGGCAATATTTTGCATGAAAAAAACATATGGCGAAGAAGAAGAGTCTGGAGATGTTCATGGCTGGTGAAAAGAGGATAACATGGAATGTTTGTTTTCCTCAATCTCGTCAAGTAGGCCTGAAATCGGTAGACCAGTTTTTGTTCCATCATGATAGTTCGCTGTGGCATTTCTAGGCGTCATAAAATTGGCTGATTTGAATACCAGAATCCTAGCACTGGTGGATCGTGTGATTGTGATTTGTCTAAATTGGGGAGAAAATTGGGGGGCCAAAAAAAAAAAATACTGTCTCATACTGCATACCCCGGTGAAATGTCAGGAAGGTATTAATGTATGAAGAATAGATATCAGCCAGTTTGTAAAACAGAGGGAAACACATAATCACCAAACAAAGCACCAAAGCAAAAACAGAGGAAAGGCCGAAATTCTTCTTAGAAGTCCCATCTGCTCAAAGACGAAAATTTTGGGAAATCACATTTAATAAAATGAAACTTTCCAAGATTAGTCCTGAAAATGGTAGGTTTGTCTGGCATCCTACACAAACTAGACTTTTAACATATTTAAGATTTAAAATATAATTTCAAATAAATATAGCCTTAAGTTATACATTATAAAAAAGTTCATTTAACCTCTTGCTTTTTTTAATAACTTTTCCATAAGTGAGTTAAACATTTTTGGCCATTTACAAATATTGTCAAATATATTCGAGATGCTTTGCATATTTCTTTTGTATGACAACGGCTAATGCTCAACTCAGAGTAAAAGAAACAATATACGCAAAATGGTAAATGGATGCAAATTGTGAAAGTCCAAAGAAGAGTGTAGAGTTGTTCACTTTTTTTAGGTCAAGAAAAGAGAATCTTGCTTCTAATTACAAATATGTCTTCTCTCTGTTGTCAAAGTAAGCCTCCTTCTCCTTGCCATTAAAAGCAACTAAATTTCCACTCAGTTCACTCTTGAATGTTAATTTGTCTAGATTTATCTGCTGTTTTAGCACCTCAGCAGTGCCACCACAGAAATGCATATTCATGAAGTTAAGCTTGCTATAACCTGCAACTCAGTGGCAACATTGTGTACAATAAGGTTTCTGAGCACATGCTGATAAATCAGTGGTCAGATTGTGACATTTTGGACCAAAATTTTGCCAGAACTGTCATCAGCAGTCTTTGCTTGCAAAGGCAATAACTCGGCAGTTTTATCTAGTATTATCTTATATTGTAAATCCACCTTTGCTCTGAGTATTCTGAATAAATGGTATGGTAATGGAACTCACAGATAAGAAGCTCATTCAGAGGTGCTTTCCCATACTTTTTTGCCTGTGTCCACCTGTGTAGAGGTGCGAATGAGTAACATGTACAGACTGAATGAGAATATACTTTCAGACAAGCTGTGAGGTCTTGCCACACATACACACCCGCACACACACACACAGACGCATCAGGGAGATGGGGTGTCACTGAGGAAGTATCACCAGTTGTCTGTGTTTTGTCACCTTGTTAATCACTATGATGCACACAGCAGCGCGGGAGCTGAAATGATGCCTCAAAGGGGATGTTAGGACAAAGACTGGACATCTTTAAAGCTGCTATGAGTATGGAATTTGTCGTATAACATATCAAAACCAAAAATAAAACCGATTGTTCCACTAATCAATCTGTAGTGTCTTGCAAAAGTCAGAGACTGTCCTTCATTTATTTAATTTCCAGTGAGATCAGCCATTACCTACAAGTTATTCATTTTTCTGCATCAGGAATAAAATCAGGAAACACACTAAACATTACACAGAAGCCTCAACAGCTAAAGGCAACATCACATTTTTCACTATTCAGAGTGACCAGTCTTTGTCGTCGTTACAGCTTCCATTCTTTTCAGGAGAATTAATTTCAGTTTTTCATAGAAATCTGCGGGGATATTTTTCACACCTCCAAAGTTCAGTCTTAGAAGTTCGGCTTCTCACAATCCCAGACACATTCAGTAATGTTGAGGTCTGGACTCAGAGGTGGACATTTCGTTGTTCTGAGAACATTAGCAGCTTCTTTGATTGGCAAATGTTCTTTTTTTTATCTACTTCCTTTTTCTCAATAAGGGCCCCTTGACAGCTACACATTCTTTCAGACACACAGCGTAGAGTTCTTCTCACAGTGAAAGGATGGACAGAAACACCTGTCAACTTTTAAAATCCAAATCAAGAGTGGAGTTTGATTTTTCTCCTCTCTCTTAGATCGAAGCTTAAAGTGCTGTTTATCTGATAGGGACAGTTTTGGTGTTCTACCAGGTCTTGGAGTCCTATTTTCTCTAAATCTTTTAATATTTTTTTTGAACTCCAGTTTTAAAAACTCTTGTTTTTTCTCATATTCTCCTTTGACTTTCCTTTTCCCTATCTAAGTGTATTATCTTATATCTAATCTCCTCAGAAATATCACCTGAAAAATGAGTAACCGCTTTGACTGGAAATTAATGAAGGGTGGTGTCTGACTATTGCAAGGTACTGTGTATACCAGTATGCAAGTGTCCAGTTAGTACAAAAAATACTAAAATTACTAGATTGCAGACTTTATTTAGTGTTAGTTTGGCATAGCAGAGTTTCAAGTCTGACCACTTGCATAGTTGGAGTTCATTTACACTAAAGAAATGGAGAAGTGAATGAAAGACTGGTTAATTAAAATAATCGGAACATTTCTCAGCAGGTCAGATAAATGGTGTAATAATGGAGTAAGGGCATGGAAGGCAGCAGGCGGAGGTCTGGAGGAAGAGCGCCAGTGAATCCGCAATGATGGCCATAAATCACATAATTAGAAAACGTGCGCTGTTTAAGTAGCAACATCAGTCAAAGTGGCTTGTGCCTTTGTGTCATCTATCTGCTACATTTTCATTCCCGATCAGTCACCAGCGACTGTACATTACCCTCAAATTATTGATGTCCCCAAGAGAGGGCCACATCACTCATAGCAGCCAGAGTGAGCGAGAGTTTTCAGCAGAACACCTTAAAAAGAAGTTTGGTTGAGCGAAAGTGAAATGAAAGTATCCTCAGAAGTGCGAGGAATTCCTAATTTGTGGAAGTCGTGCATTTTTCAGCAACTTTTAGCATGCCTCCCTGCAAGCCACTTAAGTCTGTTGCTGAAATGTATCCTGTTGGAGGAAATGGCTTTATGATCTGAATGTTGGAGTTTGAGTTTTTCATTTCTGTCATTTGCTCTTCATGGTGTGATGAAAGAAAAATGGCTAACTTGAATTATGCTATATAACATTGACACAGCCATGCCATAAACATGTTGTGGCAGATATCATATGCTGTCATAAGTCATCATGACAGATTATGTCCAATCACACAACAGTGTCATGTTACCATTATTGTTAATTGTCATGACATAATAATGTTTTTTGTCATATGACATAAGCTATCCATGACATTAAACATTATGACGTTTTTGACAATTACTGATAAAGGTAGCATGACACTGAGTGCGTTTACATGCACTTAATCTCATAACTGCAGAAAATCAGATTTTGTCAGTAATCTGATCAACGCATTTACATGCACTCATCAGCTAATGGGAAACTCTGGGTTTACATAAGTCAGACAGTAATCGGATTTCTGCTTTGCAACCAGCCAATAAACTGTGACTTAAGTAATGTAAATCTCAAACTACATGCCGTGGCTTAAAGCATTGAGCCACTCTACCTGAACATATGAACATAAATCATCTAGAAGATGAAGAAAATTTAAATCCTTTTTCATCAAGTATGTAGTTGGTTTCAGCGTCACTCCAAAAGTGTTTTGCTGCGTCTCGCAGCAATGCTGCTTGCTTATTTCTCGTACTGCAGTCTGTTTTGACACATGCGCAAACAGAAATCCGAAGGAAATCAGAGTAAGAGTTCACATGCACTGAGAAATCTGATTACTGAGCTACAAATCCAGCTCTCTTTATTGGATTTTTTAATCAGATTTCTAGACCTTACTCCAATCTAAGAAATCGGAGTATGCTGTTTATATAACCATTTCATTGGATTATTGAGCGCATGTAAACACGCTCACTGCTATGTTATGAAACAAAATGGGTCATTACCTGTTTATAACATCAAATGACATTGACCATGAAATGGTTATTTCAGTGTTATGTAGCAAGTGTTAGCAAAAAATGCAACAAAATGTCCTGTTTTGAAACTTCTGTGTTAATTTTTCAACGACGCTATGGATTCCCAAGTGGTGGAATATCAGTCAGTCATGTGACAGTCATGTGAACCTTCCCTGGAGGCCGTAGCAAGCCCCAAAATGCGCATAAGGTAGCAAAACCCATCTAGCTCCCTCAGCACAGCCGCCAGATGGCCCTCCGCCTGGTGCTTATGTGTGTCCAAAACACCCAAAACTTTTTTTTTTTTTCTCTCCCTATTTCCTTTTTCTAATCTTGCTTAAATTGCCAATGAATGGAGATGAGCTGTATCTCTGTGGTGGCCCTGAGGGCTGAGCGTGGAGTGTTGGGCGTCTCTTTAGCCTGCTCTCTCTGGCCTGTTCTTAGCCCTGTGGTCATGCACGAGCCATGGAGAGCCGCCGGCGCTGTTGCCACGCTGAACTGAGCACGCTCAGATTAGAGCGACTCTAGAGAGAAGGCAGTCTGTGTTGCTGTAGCGCCGGGCCCTATGAGATAATTTTTCTAATTAACCCGGACAGCAGCGATGCAGCAGAGATGCAGAAAGAAAATCAAGGAGGTCCTTTCCTTCTCTGCCATTCCACCACCATCAACTCCCTTTTCTCACAGAACCCTCTCGTCCTTCACCGCCTCTCTCTGGAGTAGCGCTCCACCCAAAGTTAAGAAATATCAGTCTTACGGAGCCTATCAAGGCGGAAACGAGAAGATCTTTAAGCAGGGTTTTTCTGATTGCTTGTACATACTTCTTTCTGTTTTATGGGTAAAACTTGGGTAGAACTCTGCTACATAATTTGGACATAACCATAGATGAGTCATGGCAGATGTCATAAGATGTCATGAGTCATCATAACAGATTATGTACAGTAATATAACAGTTTCATCTTACCATTACTCCTAATTGTCATGACACGTCCTAATGTTTGATGTCAACTGCAGTGTTACCTTATAGTTCAACTATAGGGGAATTCCACCTGTTTTTAGAATTTCTGCATAATTCAGTCTTTAAGATGTAAACAAAGTCATTCAGAGTGGTTTGATGTGAAATGCTCTGCTCTAGAGAAACTTACTGAGACTGAATTGCTCACATTGGTGGTGACGGGAACCAAACATGCACAGCGTTTAATGCCTCTAAAGTCTCCCTCACAGAAAGGTTTTATGTAGAAAGTGTTTACGAATTTGCTGCCTGATGTCTAAAATATTGTTTTAAAAAGTTTTAAGAGAAGAACTTGGCCTAAAATGTATTTTTAAGATGTATTCATGGTGGAGGGGTCCCTGCAGGGGGCTGCGAGGGTAAATAGATCCCAAAGAAAATGGATTTTTCAAGACGTACCATCATCAACATTACATATTGAAACTAAGAAAACATGTTCACTGGTTTTGGACAGCGAATAAAATGGCTGTATTTGTGTTATAGACATTGTGACCCCTGGTTCCTATCATCACCACTGTAAATAAATCCCAGTCTGTAAGTTTCTCTACAATATACCATCTCACATCAACCCACTTTCAATGACTCTGTTTACATCTCAACCACTTAACTATACAGAATTTTATATATATATATATATATATATATATATATATATATATATGGGTGTATGTATGAATGTATATATGGGTGTATGTATATACGTGTGTATATATAACATGGATATAAAATAAAAGTAGCTTAAGTAACAGCTCCACACACAAATACACAGGTTTACTCAGATTTGAGTCCTTGTTTTCAGGTGGTATGAACCTGTGCTGTGGTGAAACTGTAGCATGCTGACGCAGGTTTTGCATCGGCCACACAGGCTTGTGCCACTTCTCAAGGCTCTTGTTGGCACTTGGGCGCTGACTTCATTACACCTCTCATGTCTCCAATTGGAGCCTGGCACCTCCTTGCATTAGCATTCAAGCTGTAGTAACACATTTGATACAATTATGTCTATATAACATCATAAGTCATCCAAAAAGAGTTAACCATTTAAGAACATATTTATGAGTGCAGGGGTTTTAAGTATACCTACCTGCTTTTGTGACATGAGTTCACTCTCTTTTCGCAGAAACTGAACGGGCCAGCCATTTTAAAAGCCCCTAAAGAGAGAAAGCCGAGCAAGAAAGAAGGTGGGAGTCCTGGGAAGTCCTGCAGCCTCCCAGCAGTGCTGTACAGGTGAGCCTCAGTCTGCCATTGCAGGTAGTCTGTTATAACATTTGGGTTCATTTTGCCATCATGGTTCATCATGTACACATCTTAGGAGTTGGAATTCTACTTAGCTGTTCTAAATATAAACTTATGATGCGTTTTGTGCAGCTGTGGGATCTGTAAGAAGAACCAGGACCAGCACCTGCTTTTACTGTGCGACACATGCAAACTGCACTACCACCTGGGCTGCCTGGATCCCCCCCTCACCCGCATGCCCAAGAAGACCAAGAACAGTTACTGGTGAGCAGAGGACTCCATGTGTGCCCATGTTTCTCTTACTGAGTGCTGCGCTCCATTCTTAGCTGTTCCTTATTAGATAAGCCAGTTAATTGAATTGCTATGTGGTTAGACTGATGGCTAGTCATATCTTGATTTTAGGAATGAGTTTTTTCCCCCCTCTTTAGATTCAGCCTTTGTTTGTAAGGTGAGAGGAAGCTGAGTCTGTGAAATCCTGTGTATGTTTATTTGCAAGCTTGTGTGGTTTGTTTATTTGTCTGAATGAGGCCAGTGATTTTGCTGCTGATTCACGTAATTCATTTAATCCTTGAATAAGAAAGCGGGATGCCGTTCTGCACTGCCAAATGTAAATTAGAATGCATTCGAAAGATAAAATTATGAGGGGGCTAAGTCATGTCTAATTACTAGCACCCACATGCCCATATATATATATATATATATATATATATATATATATATATATAATAATTACAGAGAGCGAGAGAGAAAGAGGAAAGAGCATAGTTTGTTTGTTTGTACCTAACTGGAAGCACTTGTGTCCAAATTTGTCGCACTCACATGTCTTTGATGGAAAGACCTGACATGGACCTTAAAAGCCTTTTTGTCATCTTGATGATTTTTCTAGCTTTGAAAATCAATAAAAACAGAGTAGAAGCGAATGAGTCCTGGTCCTCTGTCTCCTGCCCTTTTCAGGCAATGCTCTGAGTGCGACCAGGCCAGCAGTGACGAGGCAGACATCGCCATGGAGACGCTTCCAGATGGCACCAAGAGGTCCAGGAGGCAGATCAAGGGGCCAATCAAATTCATCCCTCAAGACATGTCGCCAGAGCCTAAAAAGCTTCAAGTGAGAGGCACGGTACGTACAAGGTTTAGACATAGACATTAGCTATTGGAGGTGTGGAGATGTGCTGCTTTTAAGGACTTTAAAGTGGTTTCCACAAGCAGACTGGACATTTGAACAGTATGTATAAAAGAATAAATATATTAACAATTGCATCACTGGCTTCTCTCTCTACTTCTCCCACACTTCTGTTACTCTATTCATTGCCTGAGGTGAAACATGTTGTTAATTGATTTCTAATTGCTTACTCGCCCCTCGCCGAGAGGTGATTGACCTGCACTCTGGTCAGTTCTCTCAAACCTCCTCAAGGTCACCACTGCCGGCAAGTGCATTTCCTTGAATTCCTCTTTGAAAGCTTTCATATAGTGAAGCCATAAAGAAGATGAAAGGCTAAGCCTTTCATTGTTTAAAAAGCTTGATTGAAAGCACCCTGAAAGTGTGGCACCCATACAGCAGTAATGAATTTGACGGCGAAAGTGGTGTTGGTGGAGACGAGCACCTCCCCGTCCAAAACTCCTGCTGTGTTTGCCTTGTATTTAAACCTGCTATTTAATCTCCTATTGACTGATCAGGCTTATGTGTGCATTACCTTTAGCTGTACAAGCCCCCACACTGTGGTGTGAATATATATATATATATATATATATATATATTTATATATATATATATATGCATGCATGCGTGTGTGTGTGTGTGTGTGTATGTGCGCTCTCTGAGCTGTTCGCAGGCTGGAGATAGGGCTCGTCTGTCAAGCTCTCCATGGCTTTCACTTATCACTGTCCACCACACTCTGATCCTGAGATAGCACTCCGGCAGCCCTGCTCCCTCAAGGAAGACAAAAGATCCCTATCGGAGAAAAGATGAGCTCTCCGGGCCTCCTGCGTTTTGTCTTTTTCATCCTTTTTGTTTTTAAGCTCTGTCAATAACACCAGCACCCTTTTTTTGTAATAGGATGTGAAAACAGGGATTGGCGTCTCCGTTCATGCCTTCCCTGTTGACTGCAAAGTTTGTTCCTCAGTTTAGGTGGAAAAGACAGAGAATGAGGCCTGAAAGTTGTATTTTGTTTGCATCTTTTTTCAGCTGTTGTTTCTCTGTGTATCCGTGTGCTTGACAGACTTAACATGATTTTCTGAGGCTCAGAGATGAAGTGTGATGAGGGCCTCAGTAAAAAGCAGTTTGATTAAACATCTCCCCCCTCCCCCGTCCCTCCCTCTTTTCTCCCTCTCTTTCTGTCTCTTGCTCTCTCTCTCTTGCATGCTCTCTCTCTCTCTCTCTCTCTCCCTCTCTCTCTCTCCCTCTCCCCCTTTTCTCCCTCTCTCTCTCCCTCTCCTCTCTTTCCTCCTCTTATTTGTGTTTCCTCTTACTCTCTAGTTTCTCTCACCTTCTGTTTTTCAATTCTTTTTCTCTCCTTTCTTTCCACTTTTTATTTCCTTCTCTAGCTGCCTTTTTCCTTCTGTTCTCTTTTTTTTCTTTCTTTCTGTCTCAGGCTTTTGTCTCCGTCTCTACTTCTCGTTCATTATTTTCCGCCTCCTCCTTTTGCAATCTTTCTATCTTTTTTTTCTTTCCCTTTCTTTTACTTTCTTTCTGTCTCCCTCATTCTTTCTTTCTTTTATCTTTTCTTTCTTTTTTTCTTTTTCTTTCCTCTCTCCCTCATTCTTTCTTTCTTTTATCTTTTTCTTTCTTTTTTTCTTTTTCTTTCCTCTCTCTCTCTCTCTCTGTCTTTTCTCTCTCCCCAGTTTCTCTCATCTTCAGTTTTTCGTTTCTCTCATCTTCAGTTTTTCTTTTTCTACCATTCCATAATTTTCTCTCTCTCTGTCTTCTCCCCCACTGTCCCCTCCTGTCTTGCTCTCTCTCTGTCTTTCCTCTCTTGCCCTCTCTCTTTTTTTCTTTCTCTTCCCTGCCCCTCTCTCTTCCTTTTTTCTTTCTCACTCACTCTGTCTCCCATCTCTCTCTCTCTCTCTCTCTCTCTCTCTCTCTCCCCTCCCTCCCCCCCCTCTCTCTCTCTCCCTCCCTCCCCCCCCCCTCTCCCCCCCTCTCTCCCTCTCTCAATGCGTGTTAGGTGCTTTAATGCCGCATTTATCTTCTGATGCACACCGCACTGTGGCAGCTGCTGAAAGGAGCCCTGCTTTGCATTTTTAATGCCTCTAACAGGACGCTGCAGTGGCGAGCCCTTATACAGCCACTGTACCATTTATCAGAGGCAGCTAATCGACCCCCCACTGGCCAGACGTGCTGGAGTAGGTGCCACTGAGTGCGTCCGGCTTGTGGAAGATATTTTACACTGATGTTCCGCCCTGCGCCCCAGTCACTCAAAACGCACCTTCTTAAAGGCCTGATCAAGTGAATTCGTAAATGTCACAGTGGTATTTTATTATGGCATTTCTTCGGTTGAGAAAGTTGTCTTTCTCCTAATGTTATTTAAGGGGCCGGGGCACTGGTGTTACTGTCATAATTTACATAAAAATGCCATCAATGCTGTTGGACAGACCAAAAAAAAAAGGATATCACAGAATTTGGAGTTTTTGTTTTTTAAAATTTTTACATTTAAATGATTACAGAATTTGCATCATTAAGTCCTGTGAACAGGACTTAATTATTATTACACATCATCTTTGAGGAATATGTGCCATTAGTCTTTGGAGAGTTACCGCAGCATAGTACCACACGCTGCTGTGCTTCTGTATGCTTGGCTAATTTTTCTAGTCCTGTGAGAATTGATTCAAGCCTTGTTAAAGATGCAGTGATGTACTTAATTAAAAGATTGATTTTAGCCAAGTCGTCTCGACTGCCTTCCACTTAATTTCCTCCGTCGAGCGAAGCTGCGATTTCGTTTACGTCAGCCAGCGCTCTACCTGGTTGCATCTCATCTGCTGCTTTTAAGGGTGGAAGTGAAGCTCTCTGCTGCAGCTCTCTGCTGATCTTTGCCTGGCCTTTAATAGATTACCTTAATCGAGTCTGCCGTAATGGAAGAATAATGAAATAAACGAGTGCCTTTGTTTGGTGCTGCCATCGAGGGAGAAGTGGCAGAGGGGTTTAAGAGCCAACTGGCAGCGTGGAAGCAGTTAGCATTTATAATGATAAGTGTTCCATCTGCCATGTGGTGGCAAGCCAAAGGCGACAGATGGAATTGTTTTCACAATCTGTTTAAATATGTTGTCGATTTTTCTTCGCCTTTTAAAAAGGCCCAGCTCGGCACTGTCACGCGCCCCTTCCCATTAAGATGGAGATGTTTGATTTGATTTTGGAATCGCTTGATTTTTTTTTTTTTTTTTGGTTATATTTTTATTAGCTGCTATATAGATGAACAGCACACATTGATCCACTGGTGACAGATGAAAGCACCTGCAAAAGTGCAGTAGGCCTGACAGAGGCAAGAGTCAGGGGAAGCCAAGAGCTTGAATCTGGATATCCGTTTGGTCACAAAGAAAAGTCCAATTTAGGAAGGCTGGATGACCCACTTCCTGAGCAGCCTGTTGTCCGGCCTGATGGCAGCGCTGGCCTGTTTGCTGGCCTTCGGACAAAGGGATTGATTCCCTTTTAATTTGACACAGGATGAGCTGGACTCAACAAGAGATGTGGATTAGAGGGCAACACCACTGTTTGACATCTGCACCACTTACAGTTGGCTATAATCTCCATCTGCTTAACATTGGCTATATCCGTATTTTTTTATTTGTTTATTTTTATGTTGCCAGAATACTTGCAGAACAGCAGTGCTATTGTTAACGTGATAAATGTCACACTGTGCTTTCTGAGTACATCGTTGGTATTGTCAGTTTGTCACTGTCATAAAAAGGACTAGAAATGGCAAGATACCACTTTTTTTTCTGATACCGATACTGATATTGAAAGCTTGAGTATCGGCTGATACTGGTACCAGTCTGATATTTTTTTCTTTAAAAAACACTTCAAAATAGGCTCTTAATAATTGAAACTCTTCAATTAAAACGAGCTTCTAACAGACCAATGACCCAAACCTAGATCAGTGCCATCTCTAATTTAGACCAATTATAGAGAGCCTGCAAACACCGGTCCACGTTTAATAACTGCGTAAGCTGCTCAGTAGCAAGTAGTTGATTGGATGTCAACTGATTATGCCTATTAGTCGTGATTTTATTCATCTATTTTTACCATTTGTTGGATTTTTCCTCCTTTTACTTCTGAAATATGTTTTGCAAACATTAAGGTAAAAAAAAAATCATAGTGCTCTGACACTGCTTTTTTTGTTTGTTTGTTTTGGAGTTTTGCATTTTATCTGTTCCAACTTGTATTCAAGTGTCATGATGCTATTTTTATGCTGTATGTGCTATGTATATTTCTGCTATACAAGCTAAATGTTGCCTAGGCTGGGTATTGGCAGCAACTTTGATATATATCACAAAGCATCACAGTACATATGTTGACACAGATGTACTTTTTTGTCAACGTTTAGTTGAATATTTCTTCTAACAACTATTGTAATTATGAATAAATGAATAATGTTGGGGGAAGTTATGGGTAACACTTAGCTCACTGTAGATGAATTATAGGTGCAGTTAGGTGTAATTTTCTTTAGTCGTATCCCTAACCTTAACTTAAATCCAAAACCTCAGTCTAACTCTCAACCTGGTCCTAGGCCTAACTCTGGTATCAATGCTCACCCTTATCATAACACTGTTGAGTTTCAACAAACGTTTGCTAATAATAATTTCAAAATCAATAGATAATCTGTTGGGGTCTATCCATGTAATGTGGGATCAGAATATGACATTTTCTTTTAATGTTTACACCTACATTTTTTCCGTCAACGTTTAAAAAATACAAATGCACAAATATCGGTACAGCTTTCACTGTATCGAAATATGCATTGCCACAAGCTTATTGATGATATATTGCTGTATGAGTATTTTAAACACAACCTTTTTTGCCCATCCTTAGAGCTTGTTTACTGTGTTATAAGCTGTCAAATATTGGAATAAACTGTTAAAAGCATGCCACGAATCAGCTGCATCAGGAGGAGAAGTCTTTATCTTGCAGCTGTAGTGAGTTCTGCAGCTGTCAGCGGCTCTACTGCCCAGCAGACTTTTGGACACAAAGAAGAAGACTTGTGTAATCATATGCGGATATAGAAAACTCATTTCATTTACACTGCAAGGTCCGTCTCTGGCCACCTCCAACTGTGGTTTTGTTTTGTCTTTTTGCATGTGGTCATGTGAAATCCGAACATAATCCGATCACCAAAAAAAGGCGTAAATATCCTCTTAATACAACAGTTTTGATTAGTCTTTTACTCCAAGCAGAAACGCATCAATTGCATGTTTCTCCATTGAAGTCTGCAGCATTTGTGAAAAACCTGAAATAAGCTGAGCAAAATCTTTGTGAGTCTGAAGAGCATTGTCTCTCACTACAATAGCTAGCAGACGTTACGAGTGAATTAACTTCTGCTTTAAAAAAAAAAAAGGAAGGATTAAGCTATTGTGGTGAACTTGCCACCACTAATTTTCTGGCTCTATCTGAAAACGTTCTTCTCTCTTTACAGAGAACCCGAGGCCAAAAGAGGAAGAGAGTGTCTATCTGTGAGGAAGAGAAGATAGAGGTGAGCTCACGTACTTTCTCTGCAATCTACTAAAGCTATCTGTCTCTCTCATCCGTCTCTAATATTGCAAAGAGGAAGGTGAGGGAATGTTTGCACAGCAGCTTCAGCTTTTCCAACCTCACACAGACACAGATGCACACACACACACACACAGTGAGCTCTAATGGCTTGTGTTTCCATAGGAACCAGCACCGCGGGAGCGGAGACAGAGGCAGTCTGCGCTGCAGAAAAAGCCCAAAGCTGATGACACCAGGACGGAATGCACCACCTGCAAAGGCCCCGGCGACAACGAGAACCTAGTTAGGTGGGTGAGCATGCGTGTTGAGTTTGTGTGAGTGTGATTGAGTGTGTGGGTTTGTTTGGTTTGGTTGTGTGTTGAGAGAGAAAGACACTAGGGTCATATTCTACCCATGATTAAAGTTCAGTCTTCATTATGTGGATGCTGCCCTGCATCTGCAGAGGGAGGCAGAGGGCAGGATCCATAGGCCTTCTCTATTGAGCTGCCACACGTATTTGCTCATTTCGTTTTGTTTACCTGTAATGAGCTATATGATCTCCTGTTGTCTTGTAGTTCTTTATGTGAGGCACTGACTCCTCCAAAGATTTACTGGAAAACCCAGTTCCAGTGAATTATTCACTCTTTCTCTCATTACATTAGAATTTCCAGGTCAAAGCAACCTCATCTATGGGTTGGAAACTTCACCAATTATGATTGATGTGAGGAGCCAACTGGTCTCCAGGCAACAGTCGAACCCAAACATGCTTCACCTGGGACTTTTGAGTCATTTACTTCTAAGCATTGACTTAGATTTGCATTGTACGTTTGCGAAGAAGGTGACTGTGTAGGGCATGCCGTGATTTGATGTTTGCTCAGTAGATTTGTGCTCAGTAGGCTGGAGGAGCTGAGCTATGTTTGAGCCTCAGCTGTGGTGTGAGGTGTGCTGCCCTGACTGACTGCTCTATCTTTGCATTAAACAGGTTGTGAGAGCCGGGCACCCACCTCCCCACCCCTCCCCTAAAAACGGCACAGATGAGAGAGGGACAGAGAGAGGGAGAGAGACAGAGAGAGGCAGATTAAGTCGTTTGAAGAGCGGCGTTGGGGTCGGGCAGGAGTCGCAGAATCAGCCACCTCTGACCGTCACCTTCGACCGTCTTCTGCTCAAAGCGGACCGCGCCATGGACTTTTTAGCATGGTTTTGCGATGGTCCACTCAAAGAAAAGACTATCAGATACGGACTAACTTAACGACAAAAAGTAAACACTTTCCCAAAGTAGCACTCTTGTGGATCTAAATGCTTGCGTTTGAATTGAGGGGAAGATTATGCTGCACTGGACTCTATAAAAGGACTGTGGGCGGATCTTGAGGACACTTAGGTAGCCGTTATGGATGGAGAGAGTCACCTTTAAATTGGCACATGCGTATGGGACGGTAACTCTGATGCTGGACGTGTAGCTGCTTGTTGCTACGGACTCCTAAACTGACTGACTTTCATAAACTGGAGACTTTCCACCTTTTTTGCCCCAAAACGCCACTCTCTGCTCTGCAGCTCACTGTCCTGCTTTGTCCTGCTTGGCTGGCCTGCATGCCCGCCAGGTCACTTTGGAATGGTGCTCTCGATCCCAGGCAGTCACTCCGGCCCCCTGACCCTCTCCCTGTCTTTTTCTGATGGGCCCTGCTTGGTCCTGCAGTGCCACTCACCTCCCTGCAATTCCCTCTAACTGCTAATCACAAGACCCAATCAGCTTTATTGACCAATGAAGTGATTTTTGGCCTGAATGCTGAGTGTGTCCCCTGTGTAAACGCATTATGAATGCTCTTGAACTGGACCCTCCTGTCCTTTGCTTGTGCAGTGTGAAATTAGTCGTAGTAGAAAGTAGGTAAAGATCAAAAAACAAGAATCCGTAAATCCTCCATGTAGCGTGTTTGCTTGTGCTGGTGAAATGTAATACAATATGATAAGAGGTAATATTTACAGTGTTGTCCTACTAATAGTCTCATAACAAGAGAATAGTTAGAAGGGTGTTGAAAGCAGTTTTCTTGTGCCATTGAAGTCATTCCTTTTTTGTATCTTACAGAAGCAAAATTCTGACATGCCCTCAAAACAGCCCACCCATCCCCTAGTGTTTTGCGCTTTTGACAGCTTAGCTGCTTCATGTTCTGTCAGGATGGCTGACAGGTGTCATATGGTGCCCTGAAATGTCCCTCTCTGGAGGGTCCCAGAGGTTCCTATCTGCATGCCAGGGGAGGCAACCTCCCCCACAGCCCCTCTCAAACAGCTTTACACACATACAGCATTCCTTAGCTAAGGGATTTTCATGTCTCGATGACCTTAATGCCCTTTAAACTTTCACCCCCAGTATCTTCAGACTCAGCCGAATGCTCCCGCCACCACTGTATCTATCGGCTAACAGCAGACATGCATGGTTTTTAGCGTAGCATCTTGGGGGGCACTCAAATGTGCACACGCAGCATCTGCTTATCGCATATGCAGTGAGGGTGCACATACTCCATTAGTTTTGTGTTGTTTGTTGAAATAGTTTTGCAGCTGTGTCACTGTATTTTACGTGCCTATCATGCACCATAATGCCATTATTGTTTACGGTTGATCTGTAATCCGAAAAAAAAGAAGTTTGTTTGCACTCAGCATTTTAAAATCTGTAATTTATTTATGTATTTATTTGTGTATGTAAATGGTTGTTTTCTATGCCATTTCCAGTTTTACATGTATAAATGTTACATGGGCTGAAATAGTTGGTGTTGCATTTGTGAGTGAGTAAAATTGCTGTTGGCACGTGCACTAGGGATGTAAATAATTAACTGTTGACCGACAAATAAACAATTGCTTGTGCATTGCTATTGGTTAAAAAAAAAAAAGTATAAAATTCAAATTAAAATTTTGTTTTATTTCCAATAAACAACTGTTCCTGTTTGAATAGGTGGGTTTATTATTCACAGCTTTTGAATTGTATACTTGATGGTGCAATAGACAGTTGGTTCCAACAGAGGCCTGCTTAAAAAAAGTAAACAAGCGATAAGATTCCTTCATTTCGTCCATGTTCTTGGAGAGAAAGTGTGATTAACGGCAGGGTGATGACATCACAAGAGTGTGCAAAATTACAGAGAAAGACTTGGTGGACAGTGTGTGCTTTCGAGAGCTACTGAGAAACGCTGAGCCAGAGCTGGCCCTGGTCATGGCTTTCATGATCAACTTTTAACATGGGTTAGTAACGAGTGGTAAACAGAACTTTAGAGAATAGACAACTGTGTCACCCATCATTTTATATTTCATTCATTGCCTCATTTGTTTGGTACTTGATTATACAATCACGAACATATCGCTGTTGTCAGAAGAAAACCTCCAAATAATAACTTTACAGGAGAAGGAAAAAACCTACTTTACTTTTAATGTAAGTCAATGGAACCAGAATTACTTCAAAGTCATTTTGGGTCAGTTCTTTTGGTCCTTTCATCATGAAATTTACACACAATGTAAAGGTTGACATATGTTTTCAAATTATGTCAAAAACTGAAAAACAACAAAAATGGAGATATGAGGTTTTCTTCCGACAGCAGCAGTATTACAGTTGCCAGCCATTTACACAGGAGCAAAATCTAGTGCTGGTTATGTTTAATATATATGTTTATGTAGACACTCATGCCTGACTCTCCCTATCAGTACTATATTCCACATTCCATACAAGGAACACTTCTTAATATATCAGTGAAGTATAGAATTCAGTTAATGTGTGCTTATTTTACACTTTTGGAACCAGAGGTATCCATTTTATGATTGACATTTTAATAGTCCTTTATTTTTGGCTTGTCTGTTAACATTTAATTGCCGACTAATGATGGACAGTTATCAATTAAAAGCCTTTGCCAAAATTTGCATCCCTAGTGTGAACGCACGTGTGCGCCTGTGTGTGTGGTCTTAGAGCTGTGGCCTCAGCATTGTGCAAGCGTTAATAAACTCTTGACTTTTTCACCTTATTGCCGCTGTGATGAATGAGTCTCACTTGGGCTAATTAATAGCACTGAGTGTTGGCTTGTAGTAGACTGTGTGTGTGTCCAACGCCCCCTTGTCGAGGCTGATTTATTTCAGGGCCAGTGTGCGCGTCCAGCAGGGCCCGCTCTGCTAGTTTGGACTCGGAAAGGGACAAACAAGTGAATGAAAGAAACAGAAAGACTAAATGAGAGAGGTGGATTCACATGCACATGATCAGTTTATTTCAGCTGGGATAGGCTCCAGCACGGCTCAGTGCAGCGCTTTCTCCCTGCCTCATTTCTCTCTCTCTCTCTCTCTCTCTCTCTCTCTCTCTCTCTCTCTCTCTCTCTCTCTCTCTCTCTCTCTCTCTTCCCTTGTTCTTTTTTCTGTCTTGCTTTTTTATTCTGTTCTCTTTCCTCTTTCTGTTCACCTTTTTTGTTTGTCTTTCACTTTTTTCTTTCTTGCCCTTTGTTCTGTCTTTTCTGTCTTTCTTTCTCTGTAAATTTGTATATAGTTTATTCATCTTTTTTCCTCTCTTCCACTCTTTCTCTTTCTCTCCTGATCTTTTTCTTTCTCTTTCTCTGTCCTTTCTCCTTTTTCTTTCCATTTTTTTTCTTTGTCTTTCTTCCTCTCTTCTTTCTCTCTATTTCTTTCTATCTCTTGCTCTTATTTCTTTCTCACTCTTTTCTGTCTTTTGCTCTTTTTCTCCCCACTCTTTTTTGTCTTTCTCATACTGCCTGTCCATTTTTTGTTTTGTTTTTCTTTCGCTCTGTCTTTCTTTTTTGTCTTTTTTCCATTTCTTTCATTCCTTTTTTCCTGCTTTTTCTTTCTCTTTCTGTCTGTCTTGTCTCTCATTACCTCTTTCTTTTTTTTTTCTCCGCACAGACACACAATCATGTCTCCTCATTCTTCCATGTTTCCTCCCTCTCCCTTCATCCTTTCCTGCTTCTCAGTGCCAAGCTTACAGATCGAGAGAGAGGGAGAGTGAGCGAGCGAGGAGAGGCTTTCATGGGGAAATCTGGTTAACTGCATAACAAAAAGCCTAGTGTGCCTGGCAGCGGGCGAATAGCATTTGTGCTTATACAACAACAACAGCGGCAACGACCAGCTCCAGCTCTAAAGAGGCAAGAGATGCACCACCAAGGCCCACCAAGACTGAGCGCGCCATAGACCAGGCAGATAGAATCAACACGCCGTTGCCAGTGCATAAATACCCCAATCTCTCATACACAGGCTGGGAGTCTGGTACGAACGTCCACTGGGACCGCCAGTACTGCTGCGTTCCAGTGAGGAGAGGGTGTGTGCATTAGTGGTGGTGGGGTGAAGGTGGGGGGGTATTCTGGAAGAGCCGTAACCTTTTCAATGATGGGCGCCTTTCCTATTACAGCCCTGACACAGGATCCAGGGAGATGATTTAATGGCGGCATTTTGTTTTTGCTGACTTCACTTCTTCTTCTTTTTTTTCTTGCTCCTCACCACCATTAAAAGAGAAAACGCAAGCACTCGAGCTGTGCAGTGTGGGAAGGGTGGCCAAGCAGCTAAAATCTATTACACCGCAACTCCCCCCTCTGTCTTTTATCCCACTGAGCTGACTGCAGTGTGTTTGTGTGTGTGTGTGTTTATCTGCTTTGCTTGTCTTCTGGATTCAGGCCCTCCTCCCCACCAACACTCCCAGTGTACATGTAAGGAAGTCCAGGATTTCCTAATTAGCAGAAGGCTGAGAGAGGGGTCTTTCGTAGACTGCATCTGGTACGCAGTGTCCACAGCAGCGTGGGCCCACTGCTGAAATCGGCCTTTTCTCTTCACAGCTAGTTTGAGCTTCTCTCTCTCTTCATTAGTTTAGCATCCACCAGTACGTCCCTGCAGTCTTAACAAAACCTTGTATCCCAGAAATAGTAACCTACTGGTTACAGGAGTTAAGTTAACTTTTAATGCTAGTTAATATAACAAGATGTTAACTTTTTATTACAAGTGATTTTTCAGTATTTCTGTTGGTCAGTCTGTCTTGAAAGTTTATGTTTCTAGCACAACTGATTACAACTGATGTTGTCACAAAGCAGCTCTACAGAAATGCCCAGACCGCTGCTTTTGTTTTGTTTTTTAAACCCCTTGCCTACTTCCAGCTTGGAAAGGCTTCACACCTATGTTACACGACTAGCCACTCACAGCACAGGGGGAGGGAGGGGTCAATGAGGATAAGATTTCTCATTCGTAACAGAATCGTCTTTGGCTAGTTTAGTGAGCTAATCTGAGCTAATTGACTAGTCATGCGAATGTTTTTTTTTTTGAGGTGTCTAAACATAAATTTTATGAATAATTGCTTTGTCTGGCTGTTAGCTTTGTTTTAACACTGTAGTGTGTTCAGGGTGGGCTCTAGCCTTTCAGAGGCCCTGAGCAGGATGCTTTTTAGGGTTAAAAATCTTGGTAGCTGATGTACTTATCAGAAGCTCTCTAAGTTATGGAAGCTATGTAAATTCATAACTGACTAATTTGTATATTGCCGATAATTTTGATGCTCAATTGGTGCTCTAATAACCTCAGCATTCTCGATCCAGGGTTCTGTCTCATGATGCAGAGTTTTTGCTTAGCCAGCTAACTTTAAGCTTAATTCGTAAACAGCTGCTTATGCCGCTTATTAGGTAGAGTTGCCACTGGGTCCTTTAGCTTGCTTTCTGGCAAACGAGCCGAGTAAAGTAATGAAGTTGTGTCAGCTGCCGTGTAATAGGATTTGCTACCTAAAATCCATTCTGAACTTAACAGTTGTTATGACTTTGAAATACTAAGCATTTTAAAGTATTTTATTGCTGAGCTTTGTCTGGCATTGTTTTTGAGTCTGAAGAAGAAAACACAGCAATGACTTCTGGGCAAGGTCTGCTGCCGAAGTTGTCACTTGTGTTCACTTCACTTGACAACATACTTCACTTCAGCTAATTAAGTAATGGAAAGGCCTTTAAGATGTTGTTAGGGTTTTCCCCAAGGCAGAGTTGACGAGGCCATGTTAAAAACCTAATCGGAATGAGTGGCAGGGCTCAAAAGTGTTGGGAATAGTGAATAAGAAAATGACTAATGAATATACAGTTGCCAATAACGGAAAAAAAAGATTAACCAAAGTCTGTCAGATGTCTGAAAACAATAAGAGAATAAATACATAGTTGCAATGAGGACATGATGGTACGAACAGGTAAGGAGCTCAGTGTAGTCTAAGACAAGTGTTGAATGTCTGTGAATGAGTATAGTTAAAGTCAGCAAGGGTCAGCCGACACCAGCCCAGACGGTCTGTAAAGGAGGATCTGATGAGCATATTCACTACAGTGTCCATGACAAGGCTTAATTCTTATGCAGGAGGGTGAAAAAAGCATGGTGGCATACACTAAAGATGTAAAAAAATAAATAAAAGAAACATTACGAGGTTTTGATGTCACTGATATGCCGAACAGCAACTGCCTCTGAAACATCTGTTCCACTAGAGTGATGTATAAATGCAGTGAGTCCAGCAGTGACTGAGCTTGACTCACTGTGGCCCCCTGCTGAACATATGGAGAAATACACTGCACCTCAGACAGTTTTTTTGCACTTCATACTTCTGAAACTTACTCTCGTGCCGCTTCCCACCTCTGCCAGCTTTAAGTAAGTGTTAAAGCGAGCAGTTTGGTGACGAACTAATGAAAGCGACTTACTGTGGAGTTGGCTCTACAGGACTGTCTCCAGCTGCTCTCCTGGTCTCTGCTAGTCCTACTTGTCAAACAGTAGCTCAGTAATAATACTGTTCCCATCTCAACAGTAAATCAAAAAAAGGGAGGCGCACAAAGGCCAATAATCCACTCCTTGTATAGAGGGGATTCACAGAAAGCCACAGATGCACTTTGTCATGGCTGGCGGTCAATGGCCAAGCGCTTTGTGTTCTATTGATCTGTCTCACGTGGCCTCCCCCCCAGGTAATTGCGCTGG